CTTGGACTGTATGGATGGTTATACATATACGTCTGTATACTTCAGTATAATGTGCCCAGTTTATATTTCTGATTATCATTATATCATGCTATGAATTTTTAATTGATGTTTAAATTTATCATTTATTGCATCAATTATTGGATTTATGGATTATATGCACCGGTATGGGACGGTGGCATATTAGGGACGGACTAGATCAAAATGTTAAGTCATACCTATTCTGAAATAAGGGAATGGATTATAAAATAAATCCTACTTATATTTAAGTCAGATCAACTGAATAAGTTGAATAACTAACTGGATTATTTGCTACTTATATGTCGTGTCAAGGCAACGAATAGTTGAGCGGCACTATCTTAGTTTTGGAATGGATTTTAAATATATAGTTATGGTACCATAATATGAGCTTGAGTCTCAGAATCGATGGTTAAGGAGCGTATATGCAGTGGGATGCATAACTGGCTATAATGGTGGAGGTATACCCTGTTAGGCTTAGGTACACATGCCTACTTCGGGTGCATTTTCCATGTTGCCTCTATTCAGATTGAGACCCCCTTTATAGTTCAGTGAGAGTCCTTTAGTGTGGTTATATATATATATAAATATAGTTTTGTACTATATAGTTATTACTGAGTTATCTAGGATGTATCTGCGTATAGGGTCTTTGCTCAGATTATAGTAGAATAGAACTTGTTTGTGGGCCTGACCCACCATCACTTTTCAGATGTTCATCAGGAGTAGGGATTGTTCATCCTGAGCAGGGATCGTCTACTTCACTCTTTCAGATTGTCTACATAGGAGTTTCCTTTGGGATTTATGTATCTAGTTGTAAAGCGTTGATTGTTGAGTTTTTGGTTTTCCAGGGGTCCACAATATGGATTCCCGAGTTGTAATTTTAATTGGAGGATTACTTGTATCAGAGGATTTTATTAATGGAAATTTATTGTGAGGTTTTATTTATCATTTTAGTTTCTGATCAACATTTTGGTTATTTATTTATTTTTTTATTTGTTGTATTCTGTGTTCGTTTATTGCCATTTGTTTTTAATATCCTCAGGTATTCAGGCGTAGGCCTGGCCAACTCGCATCTGGAAATCCGGGGGTATCACACTGACCACTGTTACTTTTCTTCCTTTTTATATTACCTTTTGCAGGTTTTGAGTTTGCAGAGCTTTACTGACTTTGCGAGGAGGAGGAAATAGTTACAGACTGTTCTGTACCAGTATCATCATTGGTGGCATCAGTAGCAGCTTCATTGAAGTCCATGCATTTGTCCTCACTGACCAAAGTATAAGAGGTAGGGCAAGTGTCCATCAGATTCCTGGAACAATTGGGATGGTTTGGAGATCTGGCTAACTCTGTTTATAGGAGAGAAATTTCTTGGAGGGTGTTTGTGGTTGGTTGGTTGAGTTAATGTTACATTGTGGAGGGGATGATTGGGTGTGGGTGGTAATAATGGTTTGGTGATCCTTGTGCTGATGTATGGTGGGGGAGTTACGTGTATCTGTGGTGGGTGTGGTGGGGTTATTGATCTGCTGTTGGTTTGGTGGCGGGGATGGAATCTGGGTATATGAGGGTTGTGAAATTGTTTGAGAGTTTCGAGAAGTCCATTTTCTCCTTCTATGAGGGACCATATGCCACTGATTTGGGCTTACATGAGGCGAGGATGGCCCAGGACAAATGTTAGAGACGTGCCCTACCTTCTTGCAAGAAATATAGTATTTTGGTAACCCTTGATACTTAACCAAAATATCAACCATCTTCCCCTCGCTATTCTTTAGTGGGAAGGAGTGAACCAGAGGAGCATTGAGGTCAAGTTCAACACAGATCTTTACGAATCTTAACTTCTCCCTTTCATCAGTGGCTTAGTCAGTATAGAGTGGCCCCCCCACAGCACTAGCAACATGATTAAGGCCTTTGGCTGTCCAGTAATTAATTGGTACATTGAAAAATTTAACCCAAACATGCACAAGCTGTGTCTTCTCAATTTCATTTGACAGGAATAGATGACAATTTTGCAGCTGCAGTGTGTTCCCAGTAAAGTGATAAGGCCCAGAAGAAAGCACTGAATTTGCTAATGCTTCATTAGTGAATTTAAAATAGAAGAACCCTCCTCCATCTGCAAACATACATTCAAGTCCATTGTTTTTCCATATTCTAAGGGCAGTCTGTTGAACAAGGCTGAATGAAGGCTTTTTCAGGGTAAACCTACCCACAAGGAGACCTTTCCAAGATGACTGGTCCTCCAATTCAACCTATTTAGGTGGTTCAACTATGGAACCATTTTCAGTTCTCAAAGGCTCAAAGTATTCAAAGATCATCTTTCTAGCAGGGGGAGTAGGTAGTTCATGTCTTATAACATCAGCCCAGGTTCTAGGAGCCTGAGCAGGAGCTTGCAATGTTGAATATTGTCCAGAGGTTAAAATCCGACCCTCTGACATAGCCTTTTTACCCTCCATTGGATAACAATGAAGTGTGGGGCCACATTCCTTTCTCTGACAACCATGTTCAGGAAAAGCAGGGGCTTCAGTATCTTTATCCCTAGAGTGATGTGACTGGTGTAGATTTGAATTTAAATTTTGAATATCTTGTTGATGGACGGAGTCTTGCTCGCCTGCGGCTGAGGACGACAAAAGCTTGTTGAAGATGGCCATGAGCTCAGAATGGCAATGGGAAGCCTTTTCCCTGAGGCTAATAAGCTCAGCTCGAGCAACCTGAATGGTTTCCACATTTTCCGGAGCCCCATCAGTGGGTGAGTTGGAGGATTTAAGAGTGGTCAACTCCTGCTCCGCATCCCCCAGCCTCTTCTTCAAATATGGCACCTCCTCAATCAAGTCTATTTTGAAAGCATCCACAATTGAGGCATCAACCCCTTCAGGTACGTAGGTGACCTCTGAAATAAGATTGTTGTGGGGGTTAAGAATGCGGTCATTCTGTAATGCACTCTTAATTTTGTCCATAGTAGAGGCTGTGACAGAGGGAGATTTGGGACGGTAGTCAGGTGAGTCATGAGTGGATGTGGGTTTGGTATGAGAGTTGGTTTTGGCAGTTATATGCGTTTTGGAGGAAGAAGAGTTATGGTTGATTTTAACCAAAGAAGGTGAGGAAGATGGGTGGCGAGGTGGTTTTCCTGCAGTGATGGGTGATTTTGAGTGGCGGTGGATCAATGGGGATGAGGTGGAAGGGATGGATCTTAGTGGGTGGATGAGGGGTGGTGGAGGGAGAGCCATCATGGTTAGATTTATAATCGAGAGAGATTCTTGGTGAGAAGTTGTAGACCCTCATTTTGCCGGGGCCAGAATTCCGATATTATATTCATTATTATACAGTATATGTCTAATATGATAATATATGTTACATGTACAATTTAATAATTCTAATATTAAATATTATATAGTTGTAATTTCATGCCCAATCAAATCAGATCAAATTTTACAGCTGCCCATGACTTTTTCTTTTCCATTCTTAATTTTGACAAAACCTCCATCCCCGGTGGAAGGCAATCCTCCTTCAGCCATTCTATCTTCCATTCTCTATTTCTGTTTTGTTCTTCGCCGGCTATCTTCTCTATCTTTGTTCTGTTATGTTCTGTTCGCCACCAGCCATCTTATTGAGTTTTGTCCATTGTCAATGTGTTCACATGCTAACTTGTTCATTGGTCTTCTTTCTTAAATTAGAACTCCAGAGTAAAATTCTCCCTCATCCTCTATTCATCACCAGTGTATTAGGTTCAAGGGTGGAGTCAGGATTTTGTGGTGGGGCCAATTAGACTTTAATTTGTAAACAAATACGAATTTGATGTAATAATAATACAAAGGGTTAAGTGCAAAAAAACCCATAAACTATTGTCCTTTTGCAAATAACCTCCCTGAACTAAAAATCACCCCCTGAACCACTGATTTGTTGCAATTAAGGACAAATCAATCACAAAAGACTATTTTGCCCTTTCTCATTAAAATTTTCATTTCTTATTAAATTATTTTTATTATCTTTTCTCTTATATAAATAATAATTATTTTATTTTTAGTATCAATTTATCATAAAAATGAAAAACAAAATAGATAAATAGATTTGTAACTACAATTTTCTAAATTGATTAATTTATTATTAAAACTTTATTATTTATAATAAAACTCATTATAACCAATTTAAACATTTTTATGGTAAAAAAAAAATATCACTTTTTTCATACAATATATTGATGAAAAATTAATAAAATACTTTTGAAAAAAATACTTTCTTTTCATGTAATATATTCATTAAAAATTAAAAATTCTACTAATTTTTTTATTAGATAATTAATTAAACAAATTAAAGGTAAATTTATGCAAATTTAATGAAAAATATCTCGTCAAATTAGTATGTATTTTTTCATAATTTATTTAGATAAAAAAAAATATTAAATGTAATTTAATAAGAAGAGGTATTATGATCATTTAATGAAATATAGTAAATCATTGGGACATGTTGCAACAAAATGAGATAGTTTAAGAGATTTTATGCACAAATATAATTCAAGGAGGTTATTTGCAAATTGAAACATAGTACAATGATTTTTTTTAACACTTTACCCTTAATTATATTGTCAACTTGTAATTAGTTTATTATTATTTTATTCACATGTGATATTAATTTATTATTTCGGAGCCGTCTCCGATTGGGGGTTAAGTTACTGTTTTCTATGACTCAGTATTTAATTATGATTATGATATGGTCACCTTATTTACAAAACAATGAACTTTTTATATATAATACATTAAACAATACAAAAACTACGTCGTTTTTTTGCAACAACAGAAAGGCCACAACCGACCAGGCCCTCGCGCATGATCATCATTCTCTATATTCTTTAGATCACATTCATTCGTGGATGATGTTATTCCTCCTCCGTTTTGCCTAAACAGGAATTACCTCTCTCGAAGTCAACCTATTGCCATAACCAAACACACCCTAAAACAAGTCTGGGACCCACGAGAACATATGTTAACGAATCCTATCCTTATCCCGGATTACAATATCAACTACCTGGTTAGAAATATTATCGACTCGTTCATCGCCGGCCGGGGAGACAAATGGCGTACTCATCGGCCCTGTTCTCTCCTGTTTGTTTCCACACTAACCCAAACCCTAACTCTAGATTCTCTCCAAAGCTCAACAAAACAACTAGAAAACCCCTAATTGCCGCCGCTATTCCACAGCTCTCCACTGCCACCGACGTCGACGGCGCAACCCTCGCAGTAATCGGCGGCAGCTCCGTGGCGGCCCTCGCCGCCGTAATCTCCCTCGCCGACCCCGAGAAGCGCCGGCAGCTGCAGGCGGAGGAGGTCGGTGGGGGCGACAAGGAGGTGGTGAGGGAGTACTTCAACAACTCAGGGTTCCAGAGGTGGAAGAAGATATATGGAGACACCGATGAGGTCAACAGAGTACAGCTCGATATACGAATTGGACACTCGAAGACTGTAGAGAATGTGATGAAGATGTTGAAAGACGAAGGGTCTCTCCGAGGCGTCACCGTCTGCGACGCCGGCTGCGGCACCGGCTCTCTCTCGATTCCGCTTGCGAAGGAAGGGGCCATTGTGTCAGCAAGTGATATATCAGCTGCTATGGTTGCTGAAGCTGAGAAACAGGTGAATTTGGTCTCAACTGTCATTGTAACTAAGTTAACGGTTTTGAACATATTCAAAATTTCTTCACTCATGCATTATAAGAAAATTTTTTGTCATTACAATTGAATAGACACTGATATATGTATTTTTGTGTGTTGTGTGTGTGAGAAAGATGTTTATCCTTGTTACATTTTCTTATGGAAAATGCAGCTTTTTTTTTTTTTTTTTTTGGTTATGTTAACTGTTGATGATTGTGAATTTGTGATGAAGAGATTAATTTCAAGCTTGGTTTTTCCATTTCCCACTAAAAGGGTGCTTCATTAGGAATTGAGATTCATCTATTTGTGACTTGGAACTATTGAAAAGATAAGGTTTTTAATGCCCCATTTGAGTTTGAGGCATAAACCATGTTTTAGCTCCATCTTCACAATGTTACCAACATAGTAATTTCAAGCTTCTGGATGAAAATATTTGCTCTTTTTCGAGAATGTTTCATGAGTGAAGGTGAATGATGCAAATAGTGAAGCAAGACGAACATTGTAGTTCGTAGAGCAACTGAATTTTGGTCAAATAGATAACCTTGATAGTTAATATGTGTACTTCTTATGGGAGTTTTGAACTGAAATTGTGTATTAAATTTCATGTAGGCAAGAGAAGAGCTTTTGATGGGCAAGGATGAGCTCTCGCCAGCACCGGTGATGCCGAAATTTGTAGTGAAGGATTTAGAGAGCTTAGATGGGAAGTATGACACGGTAGTCTGTTTGGATGTTCTCATACACTACCCACAAAGTAAAGCAGATGGGATGATTGCTCATCTTGCTTCTTTAGCTGAAAATAGATTGATTTTGAGCTTTGCCCCAAAGACATTCTACTACGATCTGTTAAAGAGGGTAGGGGAGTTGTTCCCTGGACCTTCGAAGGCAACAAGGGCATACCTCCATGCGGAAGCTGATGTGGAGAGGGCATTACGGAAGGTTGGATGGAAAATAAAGAATAAAGGCCTAATTACCACACAATTTTACTTTGCAATTCTTGTCGAGGCAGTCCCTGCTTAGTACGGAAGACAGGTCAGATTTGTTTTTGCGTGAATTTCTTTCATTTAAGTTGCCAGAAGTTAGGCAATTCTGTGAGTACTGTGTAAAGCCCTAACTTTTCCTTGTATGTTGTCATTCTCTTCATGCATCTATGGGTTTATGCAATGTATATTAGAGGATCCCGTATTCAACTTTTGTTCACATCTTAGCAGAATTTTGTTGTTGTTCATTCACCTAAAACTTCAAGCATAGGTTGACTGTATCAGTTAATTCCATCGATTTACTTCAAATTTCTATTGTGTTGTTCTTCATTTCTATTTTGAGTTGACATGCGCGTAATGTAGCAAATCCTGTTCCATTTTGGTAATCCAGAATCAAGATATCACGGATTACATTTTGATAATGCAATCCAAATGCCCTTTCTTCTGAGTTATATGTTACTATATACTTCAATTGGTGCATTAGTGCTGCTAAGCCAAGCTCTATAGAATAGAACTCTTACTGGTAGATCATGGGACTAGCATTTTCACTTAGAAATGATTGATTTATTATAGAAGATTAAATATTCAGTGTCTGAAATGTAAAAAGACTCCAAGAAATTTCGTGATGAGGCAAAGAAGAAAAATATACCCTGTTAATAAGTGAATGGGAAAAAGTAGAAAAGGATGGCGAACCTCAGGAAGAAAAATGTAATTCCCTTTTTTGAGTGCTGATATGAAAGAATAAACTGATAGCATGGTTGAATCTGATTGAAAACTCTGATTTTATCATCCATTAATATTGTGCTAAGTTGCAGGAAGCTATAAAGGACCTTAAATATCTCCGTGACGTTCTCTTATAACTTATCCGCGATCCTCACTAGGGCATCTGTAATCTTACTTAGAGCAGCAACTAAGCTGTCGTTATGGTCCCTCCTCTGCTTCATATCCAATTGACAATTCGTGTTGTGAGCTTCAAGTTGCGCATTCAGCATGTCACTGTTCCTCTCTAGAACTTCGGTCAATTGCCCCTCCAGATTGGTATCGCTACATCCATCAAAGGACAACCGTCTCCTCTTCCATCCCTCGTGGGACATTGATCCTCTACAGAAATTTGTGGTTGACTGTTTTCCTTTTGCTGTACCTGCAGGATATAAAGTAAAATTAAACGTAGTTATTCAAAAGATTTTTGGCCCTTCAATTTCATGAACAAGAGAAAATTTTCCCCATTGGGTAATTATAGTAATTGAATAGAACTCCTATGATGTCTTAAGTATGTAACTAGGGTTACCACAAGACACTAGTTCCCTGCTCTGCAATTCTAAATCACGAAATCGACATGGTGCATTTCTATTTCTATTGCTAAAATTAGAGAACATAAATTTTATTGTTGTTATACCCTTATGTTTATATGATTTTAACAAAAATTCGAAATTAGTATAGATGAAAACCTAGTAGAATAGACAGTTGCACTTTAGAGATGATGTTCCTTAATCCTCTTCTATAGATAAAAGGAAACCAGTTTTCCATTTGGGAGTTGGAAATTTATTTGAGGTTCCAATATAGCCTATTACTATTAATTTCACAATCAAAAGTGGCAAAGTAATTCTGATACTGGTTTAGCTTTAGCTTTATCATGATTTAATTGCAGTTCTAAATTCTCAGCCTTGAAAGACCTCAGGGTAGAAGAAAAAAGAGAACTACCTTGCTTTATCTTTGAATTGCTGCAGAACCCTACTATAAGAATCCCATTAAGGAACAAAATCAATTAGATTTGATGAATATCTTTAGTACAAGCTAAGAAAGGTATTGAATAATTATGACATAAGACCAGATTACCTGAAATAGGTATTGGGGCATGTACTCTCTTTGTTGTAGTCTCTTCCACAACAGTTTTTTTCTCTGAGCTCCTTCCGATCTCCTGGTCCGGCTGTTCAAAATCCGAAAACAGACCATCCTCTGCTGTGGCATGTCTACTACTATCAAAAACTGCCTCAGCCGACTCCTCTTCCTCTTCGTCGGCTTCCTCTGCCATCACTGCTTCCACTCCATCATCAATGTCCTTGGAGTCTATTGCCACTAGTGGTAACGGAAACGCTGCTGCACTGAATGCCTTCCCATCTAAGACACGATACACTTCACTATCAAAGAAACCTGGCAATTTATTCTCTCTCCTCATATCATTCCTCAGCATCCAGAACGATTCAGCCTCATCTTTTACCAGTGACTCCCATGTCTTGATTTTCTTGAAGTCACCGACGAGATTGCTCCAGCGTTTCCGGCACTGGACTGGCCCTCTGTTGACGTGGTGCTGTTTGCAGTATGATGAGACAAAGTCCCACTTGGGTTCCAGCCCGTCTGACCCCAGAACTGCTCCTGAACCACATCTCCGACCCCTTCGACCCCGGTTCTCTGCAACCTTCTTGCCTTCTATGAGGACCATTGTTTCCTGTCTGGTCCATCGAGGGTGTCTCGGAGTTTTACTTTTATCATCAGTTGCTTCTTCAATGGGCGGTTGCTGTCCATCAACTTCATGAGATGGAGAAGTAGCATTCTCGTGTGCATCATTCGGCTTTGGTGCTGGAGATTTAGCATTCTCATGCACATCATTTGGCTCTGGTGGTGTTGGAGAAGCAGCATTTTCATGCACATCATGTGCCTCTGGCGCCATATAGTGGGAGTGAAGTTGAGGGTGTTTTTGCCAGAAGGGTTTGTGTAAATGCGAGGACCATTCAACCCCAATTGCATAAAAAGAATGCGGAGTAAAGTGTTTTGTGGGATTGGGTGGCCATTGGTTGGAGCCTATCTCTTTGGGTTGGGGGGAGGGTTCTTTTTCAAGGGTCAGTTGGGGTCTTATATTCTCTACCATGTATTTGAGTGTCATCTACCAGAAAGTATTCAGTATATGGTACTCGAAACAGTGGGAACTGTTGGATCATGAATGTGGTGGTGGGCTCCACTACATTCAAGGGCTGGGATGACTCCAGAAGACCTATTTTCTTATCATCTACGTACCCCACCCTCCGTTTTATTAAATTGACCCTCCCTCCAAACAAGGGTATCACTTTCTTGGTTTAAAGCACTAAATTTAAAAGGCACCTTCACATCACTTTCTTGTTTGAGCACTAAATTGTAAAGGAACGCGATCCTCTCCTTGTAAAATCTCTCTCTCTCTCTCTCTCCTATCTTTAAACACTTAAAATCCTTCTTATTATTTTCTGCCTTAAAACTTAAAAGCGTAGTTAAAGAGACATGTTTTGGGGAAGATATTATCTGGGTTGGGACAAGAGTACAGCCTTGTTCTAGCCTGGAACAGTATGCATCCAAGATTCTATACCCTAAAATCAATGCAATTAAAGGGCAGTAAATAGGGACATTCTATAACTAAATTACCTCTTCTTACATCATCTTATTTTCAGGTTCCAAATACCCTATATCTTTAGATTCTTAATTGGTTAATGCAATTAATTAATACAGGTGTATAGGGTATGCATCTTATTCTTCTTCTACTTTCTTTTTTTTTTTTAATAAAAAATATAGATTTGCATATATATATATATATATATATATATATATATATATATATATTATCTCATTAAAAAATTATTAATACAAATAACTCATTCGGCATAGTGTTATTAAAAAATATTTCCAAAAAACAATAAATAAATAATGGTGTGTCTATAAAATAAAATGAAAATACCTTGGGACAATTTTTAATTTTTTTAAAAATCTTAAATAGAAATAGAAAACCTAAAATGAAAATCATTTTAAAGAGAACTTAAATTTTCTTAATACTATATTATGGGGCATTTTGTAATTATTACATCACTTTCACGGTGTGTAATTTTTAAAGTTTTCTTATTTTTTAAAAATTAAAAAGGAAAAGAAAGCCTAGAATTAAAATCATTTTTGTATTAAAAAAGAAGAAGAAGAAGCGAAGGGTCATTTTCGCCATTAGGGTGCAGTGTTAACATAATAAAAAAAATTTAGGGGTGTTTTATGTCAAAAAAAAATTGAGGAGGGTTTCTTGCCAAAAAATTGAAAGTAAATGGGAGTTTTATGCAATTTGTCCATTTGATTATCCAATAATATATGTATTTTCTATATTACCGTTACTAGGAAGCATCCATTCAACACAACCATGGTCAGGCTGGTGGAAGTAACTATGCAAATTTTGGGCTTCATAACAGTTCTGGTAATTCCAGTCATTTGCAGGATGGTGGAAAAAAATAATGCAATTCAGTCTCCATAATTTGGAAAAAAAAACAATACATATACATATATATGTATATGTATATATAACACATATATATTTTAATCACTATAACACATATATGCACAGGTATATTGTAGTGAACATGATTAGTGATTACTTTCATTATGGAGTTTTCAAGATTTATTTTTAAAAAAAAGAAAGTGATTTCAAAAGGAGAAGTGCTAGATTTATAGACAATAAGAAAATGCAACATTATTCAACAACTAAATCTGTTTCATGGAAAAATCTGACAATCTTCAATTTAATTTCTATATCGTAATAAATTTAGAAAGACATTTAATTTGTTTATCATAATTTAAGAAGAATTTAATTCCCCCATCTTTTTGTAACTGAAAAATGTCTAGAGACCCCAAAGATTTTAAATTCATATATATACACACACACACACACACATGGCAACTCAACCCACTCGGATTGCATACTATAAATCCAACATAACTTTTAAGTGGTAATGATGGTAGTACCCGAACCCTGGAGAGATACGGGCCAATTTATAAAAGTATTGGGCCGAAGAGTAGGAGAACCCGAAACCACATCTACCTGTCATTATACACATGTATAGATGCCGCACAATATGGTGCTGATTCAATTTTTATTTTGATGTGGGTCCACATAATAAATGTTAGGTTTCATTATATGAGTTTTTGTAAGACAAAAATGTAACTTTTATATTTACTAGGAAAAGGCACGTGCGAGGCATGTAGTGAATATTTTGTAACTTATAAAATTTTTGTCTTCATATTGATTAATAAAAATTTATTTTATATTAATAAATAAATACTGAAATATTTTGAAATTAGTGATAGAGTTTAAGTTTAGTAAATTAATAAATTCTTTAATGTTTTTATATTAATACTCTATAAAATTTTTGTCTTCATATTGATTAATAAAAATTTATTTTATATTAATAAATAAATACTGAAATATTTTGAAATTAGTGATAGAGTTTAAGTTTAGTAAATTAATAAATTCTTTAATGTTTTTATATTAATACTGAAATATGTATATTTTATTTTTTATTAAATAATAATTTTTTATTTTAATAGTGAAATATTTGAGTTTTGCAAAGTAACAAATTTTTTTAGGCAATTTGAATTTTATTAGGTAATTTGTAATTTAAATTTTATTAGATAATTTGAAATTTAGTATAATTTTTAATTTACAATAGAAATTCAATTATATTAATTTTTAATTAAATTTTAAAATAGAAATTCAATTATACTAATTATACATTAGATTGAAATTGATATAAAAATTTATTATATGGAGTTTGTGGTTTTTGGAAGACCCTAGGTTATATTTTACTTTCTTTAAATATGTAATTTGTGGTAGAATTTTATAGAAATTATTTTATTTTATTTAGATATATCTTTGTAAAATTAGATTTTATTTTATTAAAAAACTCATAAAAAATAGATAAATACAAGGGTTATATACTTATATATGATAGAGTTCTCTTTTTGTATTAATTAATAAATATTTTTTATATTAAAAAATAAATACTGAAATGTTCAAATTTTGTAACATTTATATTTTATTTATATGTATTATTATATTATTATATATTTTCTTTAAATATATCCTTCTCTAATGTTATAGAGTTATAGAAATTGTTTTATTTTCTTTAAATATATCCTTATTTAATTAGATTTTATTTTATTAGAAAACCCATAATAAATATATAAATACATGTTATATGTGATAGAGTTTTAAAGAAAATAAAATACTTAATTGGTGGTAAAGTTTTGGTAATTTGTGTTAGAGTTTTATAAAAATTATTTAAATATATCCTTATCTAATGTGATAGAGTTTCATTGCAAATAAAATAGGTAATTTGTGGTAGAATTTTATATAAATTACTTATTTTCTTTAAATATATATATCCTTGTTTAATTAGATTTTTTTTTATATTAAAAAACTCATAATAAAAGATAATTTGTGATAGAGTTTTAGAAAAATTATTTTATTTTTTATACCAATTACTAAATATTTTTTATAATAATTCTTGTCTAGTTATATTATATTTTATTAAAAAATTCATAATAAATACATAAATAGGTAATTTTTATTAGAATTTTATATAAACTCTTTTTAAAAAATATTTTATTTTCTTTAAATATATTGTTGTCTAATTAGATTTCCTTCACAAAAAAACTCACAATAAATAGATAAAAACAAGTTATATGCGATAGAGTTTTAAAAAAAATAAAATAGATAATTTGTGATATAGTTTTATAGAAATTATTATATTTTCTGAAAATCTATTTATAATAAATAAATAAATTGGTAATTTGTGTTACAGTTTAATAGAAATTCTTTAAAAAACACTTTTTATATCAATTAATAAATATTTTTTTATATTAATAATTCTTGGCTAATTAGATTTCCTTTTATTAAAAAACTCATAATAAATAGATAAATAGGTAATTTGTGTTAGAGTTTTATAGAAACTCTTTTCAAACCTCTTTTTATATTAATTAATAAATATTCTTTTATCTTAATAATGCTTGTCTAATTAGATTTTCTTCTATTAAAAAAACTCATAATAAATAGATAAATAAGTAATTTGTGATATAGTTTTATGTAAACTCTTTTTAAAACTCTTTTTAGATCAATTAATAAATAATTATTTATATTAATAATACTTGTCTAATTAGATCTCCTTTTATTAAAAAACACTAAATAAATATATAAATAGAAAATTTGAGTTGAAATTTTATAAAAACTCTTTAAATATTATATCTTTGTCTATTGTGATAGAGTTTTATTGAAAATAAAATTTGTAATTTGTGATAGAGTTTTATAAAAATTATTTTATTTTCTTTAAATATATCCTTGTTTAATTAGATTTAATTTTATTAAGAAACTCATAATAAAAGTTAATTTGTGGTAGAATTTTAGAAAAATTATTTTATTTTACATATCAATTTATAAATATTTTTTATATTAATAATTCCAGTCTAATTAGATTTTCTTTTATTAAAAAATTCATAATAGTAAATAGATAAATAGATTAACTTTAATTTTATTAGATAGATTTTAAAGTTTGAATGACATTTCTTTTTTCTTTTTCTTTTTTTTACAAAGACTCTTTGCAAATCAATTAATAATTTTTTTTTATTTATAAAAATAGATAGTTAAATACTGAAACTCTTTGCACATGTAATAATACTAAAGATAAAAACTTTTTTTTATATGAATGAATAAATATTTTTTTATATAAATAAATAAATACTTAAACACCTTGGTACAACTTCTATATTTTACTCAGAAAATTAGGTTTTATTTTATTACAAAATTCATAATAATAAATAGGTTAATTTGAATTTTATTAGGTAGATTTTAGAGTTTTATAGAAGTTTTTTTTTCTATAAAAACTCTTTTCATATGAATTAATAAATATTTTTTTATCTAAATAAATAAACACTGAAATACTGAAACTCTTTCCACATTTAATAAATATTTTTTAAATAAATAAATAAATACAGAAACTTTAGATTTATTTTAATAAAAAATTCAGAATAATAA